AAGGGCACCTTTTAAAGAAATTTTTACATTCATTTATTAAGAAACTAAAAAAATCAGATTAAAAATTAGTAGACTATGAAACAAAGTGATACAGACAAGTGATTAATTCCATAGTACATATATCCATATTGAGAAATGAATTAAACTATAACAAAAAATTTAGATCCTAAAGAAAGTATAAATGTGTTGAGATAAAACCTGAATAGAATTCATAAATTAACTCCTAGATTGTTTGATAATGCAGTTAATGAAGACAAGGAAATCCTAGGAACCCATACCAAAAAGTTTTGAGTCCTGATTTCACAAGAAATATTAAAGCCAATGAAAGTAACAACAATTAGAATTAACCATTGACTCAAGGACTTCAACAACAAACCAGTTAAATGGTTAATGTCAAAAGTTGTTTATATTTGTTGTTCCTTTGCTTCATAATGACCCCTTTAGTAATTCTTTCATGTGAAGTTTGATGTTGGTAACTTCTTTTGGCTTTTGCTTTTGCTTTTCAATGAAGTAGGAGACAGGAGAGGTCTGCTGCGCCCTGTGGATCAGCTCCCTGGCCAGGGATCGAACTAGTGCTGCAGTGGCTGCAGATAGCTTGCTAGTGCTGAGACTTAAACCCTTGCGCCACCAGGGAGGCCCTATATCCTGACTTCCAAACACATGTCTTGTCTTTTCTGCTCTTTGTTGGCCATTGGCCAGTACCTAGGAAGGTTAAGGGTTTGCTGGCTGTCGTGTCTTCACAGCTATTGCCACAGGAGAACTGAGTCACCTTTTTGGGTCCCTGTAGGGTGACTGTGCTATTTGGTAGCCAACAGCCCAAGCTGGGGGAGCATTAAATGTCTGTTGTTATCTTGACTTTGAAGTTTCTCTGTGCTTTTTATTTTTTAATTTTAATTTTTTTTTTTTTTTTTTTTTTTTTTTTTTTTTTGTGGGACCCTCGCCAGCAGCCGGGGAACAAACCAGCGCTGCAGAGGCTGTGGGCAGCCTCGCAGCCCAGCACTCAAACGCTGAGCCACCAGGGGAGGCCCTCTCTGTGCTTTTTAAATGATCTAGTTCTAGAGGGGAAAGTGTCAACCAAAATCAGTTTGGGGAATAAGAGCTAAACTAGGAGAGTAAGGACAGTGTTGAAAATCTTTACTGAATGTGGCCTGATTGTAAAACTCCAGGGCAAGTTCTGAAAACGCTTGGGGAGTAGACTTGTTTCTGAGATGCGTCTATCAATACACACGTTACACCAACACCAAAGACTTTTATTGCGTCCATCCCTCTCTCCCCACCCATTTTTTTTTTTAAAGATTTGTTTATTTATTTATGCATAGTAGAACCGGGGTGTAGGCCAGTGCATTTAAACTATGGTAAATGCAGGCCTCCCAGTGGTGCAGGGGTTAAGTCTCAATGCTATCAAGCTGTCATGAGCCACTGCAGCACTAGTGCCCACCCTTGCCCAATCCCCAGATCTCCAGACCCCTGCATCTGGACTTGTTGATCCCTCCTATTGCCCCCTGCAGACCCTCACCATCTGCCCCTTTTTTTCAGTACTTTGTATACAAGCCCCTGCCCTCGGCCAAAGAGCAGGACAGGGTCTTTCAGACATGAGTTTCTGCCTCCTTGGTTTGTCCACAATTAAACCACTTTCCTTCTCAAACTCTGTCTCCTTTCATCGGCTGAAGGAAACTGAGGCTGGAGTCCTGGTCACTGCAAAAGCAGACTTGGGAAAATAACCACAGCACAGTCAAGGAAACAAAAGGGCTACTAAACAAGTGAGATCGATACAAACTTAAAAAGCTTTTGTACCACAAAAGAAACCATCACACACACAAAAGGCAACCAACAGAACAGGATAAAGTGTTTGCACACCCTGTGTCTGCCCAAGGGTTCATCTCCAACACTGACACAGATGCGCACACCAAAGAGCAAAGAAACCAATGACCCAAATACACAGCGGGCAAAGGAGCCCCATAGTCACTTCTCAGAGAAGAGACCCCATCGCTGTAGACATGTACAGATACTTTGACATCATTATTATAGGAAGGGTAAAATTAACTGCAGGAGATGAGCCTGACTGCTGTGAGATGGTCCAAGAAAAAACATTCCATGACTCCTGAAATGTAGCAGCAAGCTGACCCAATTGACAACAGCTGGAGAAGCTATCAGGTGAGCACCCCATGCACCTCCCAGTGTGAAGATAGGGCTTAAAAAGTAGGATGCTGAGTCCCGAAGCACAGGAGGGGGGCGCCGGATGGTTCATGGAGTAACCCCTGCCCTTGGGGCCATGGGGCCCAGGGTAGGGTGTTCTGGCTGTTTCTGACCCTTTTCTGACTTCGGGCAGGCTCTTGGGCCTCAGTGGCCCTGCTTGGGCCAACCCTGTTTGGCCTGGCATTTACCCACGAGGGGATGGGTGAATTTGGGTGCTTGATTTGGGAACTGTATTCTTCCCCTTTTCTTTGTTGCACACTGTATTAAAGATCCTTCCCACTGAAGGTCTTGCACACTAGAGTATGTCTTGTCTTGATGTGGTGGATGGCAGAACCTATTTAGAACAGGCAGGTTTGGGGGTTCTGGGGTGCCCTCACCCTGCCCTGTAACACTTTGCAGTAAAGCAAGTGAGAATGACAAAGGTAAATATCTGCTGGTCACATAGCCGGAGAGAAAACAAAGTAAAATTCTTCTAAGAAGCAAGCGAGGTTGCTGAGTTTAAGAGGGAAGGGGAGAGAGGAAGGGCCAAAGAGGAAAATGTCAGGTACTAATAGGTATTATGAAGGAAAGGTCTGGAAAATAGATTGAGGTTATGGAGGTGCTATTATAGAGTGATGGGGGGGGTACTTTCTTGAGGAGGGGGTTATTCGACAATGACCCAAATGAAGTGACACAGTGGGCGCTTCAAGCAGTGTGAACCTCAAGTGCAAAAGCCCCGACACTGAAAATGTGTCTTATTTTGAGCAAAGTGCATGGGGCCAATGTGTGTGGGGGGGGACGGCGGGGGGGTAGGGAGTGGCATTAAAGCTGAAATATTGGCCTGTTTTTGTCATGGTTATTTGATAACCCGCCATAAAAATGATTCCATTTCCCCTTTGATTTAACACCACCTAAGAAGTCAGCCCTAAGTCTGGGGAAACAAACTGTTCAGCAGCCATGAGGGAAATAGGAAATAAATAAATAAACAAATAAATAAATATTGTACGGACATGGAATCCTAAGCAAAAGAGTCGAACAGAAAAGACCCCCAGAGTGCAGGCAAGTGCACACACTAAACCCATCAAGGCTGTGAAAATGAGGAGCAGTGTCAGGAACAACTTCAAAAGAGAAAAGTCGATCAGATGGAGTAAGATAATTTCACCCAGTTGGAGCAGGTGGTGACAGTTGAAATGGGCCTGTGGATTGGATTCTGACATGGGAACCAAAATGATTTACTCTTGGGATGATGTAGTGGATCCCTGGAATATTTTGGTTAAATATGAAAGAAATACTGTGATGAAAACACAGGAATGTTTCATGTTAAGTTAAATACACAGTAAAGGAGGAATCAGTGTGAGATAGAGTATTTGTGCTGCTGTGAAAGTTCCCTGTGCATTTGAAGTAACTGTAAAGTAAGTTGTAGGGTAAGGAAAAAGTATCAGGCTTTTCTGCCCTCCAGCCATTAAGATAGATGAGGGAACCCTGTGGTCCTGAGTGCATGCCTGATGGCGGGCACCTGGAGTGGGTACACCTGGGCTGAGAGACTGAGTTTATAAGGGCAGCATCATGGGGACACCTGCAGAAGCCAAGAACGAACAGAAGTCGAGAGAAGAAGAGAAGCAGAGAGAACGCCAGAGAACCCATATAGAGTTAGGATTTGCTGGGGGCTGGGAGGACTGCCAGCCTCCCGGCCCCCCAGCACCCCTGCCTGCTGTGTACCTGGTAAATTTAAATAAAAGACCTACAAAAGCCACTGAGGGCTCCAGGACTCTGACTCCTCCTTTACCCGGTCTGCTGGATCAGAAAACCTGCTCAGTGTCTTTCCTGCCCTGACAAAAGTTAATGTCTCTTTGTAGGGTAAGGTAAAAGGTATCAGGCTTTTCTGCCCTTCCGCCATCAGGATAGATGAGGGAGCCCTGTGATCCTGGGTGCATGCCTGATGGCGGGCACCTGAAGTGAGTACACCTGCGCTAAAAGACTGATAATATAAGGGTGGTGCAGCAGAGTGCGGTGGGGTGGTAGTGCGGTGTTAAGGGTGGAGGAGTGGAGTGTACGAAGGAGTGTTGGAGCGACTACAAACCACGGCGAAGAGCATGTGGCTGCTAGAACCGTTCATAAACCTGCTCGGAATGGGTTGGTTGCCTTACACTCTTGAAAAACAAACAAGACATAAATTGTTTATGGAGCAAAGCCCTGACCAGATCCAGTCCATGCAATGTCAGGGGGCTCTGTGTCTCTGTAGGAGCATGTGGGGTAAAGGAGGACGCTCAGGCTTTGCGCCCTTGGCCTCTGTGGCCATCACCTGCAGCCTTGAATGCAGGAGGACTTGGGAGCTGGGCTGGGGGCGCCTGAGGGTAGACACCTGGGGTGCATGTGGGGAGTATGAGTGGGCGCAGCTGGGTCTGGGGCAGAGCATAAAAGGTGGCCTCTCAGAGGCCAGGGTGGGCAGAGGGGTGCGTGAGTACAGTGGGGAGCAGCTGGGAGAGAGGATGCAACAGCTGGGAGAGGAAGACAGAAGAGATGCCAGAGAGAAACTAGAGAGAGAGTAAAGATTTGTCAGGGGCTGAAAGGCCTCCAGCCCTTCAGCCCCCAGCTCCTGCCCCTCAGCCCCTGGCTACCAGCCCAGAGAGCCCAGAGTACAGACTCGCCTGGGAGGGCCTGAGAGGTTGGAGGCCTCCTCCAGGCCTCAAGCCCTCCTGCCTGCCCTGCACCTGGACACCTCACTGCAATGGTGGAGAAAACACTAAAAGCCCAAGAAAGTCACCGGGGGGTCCCCAGGACTCTTTCCCCATCAGCTTAGAGCCATCAAGAACCTGCCCCATAGGGCTGCCATGACAACCGGCCTGGTCTGCAGGACCCAGCGCAGAGGGGTGTGGAGCCTCTCAAGACCTCGGTAGGGACCAAAGTGTGCGGCTCCTCTCTTGTGGGCACCTCTCGACCCCTGTGCAGGGGGAGGACTCTGCACACAGTGGGGAGGCGTTGGACGGACATGTGGGCCCGCTTGGTGCATGGCTGGGGTGAGTGTCCCTTGCAGCTGCCCATGGGGTCCAGGACAAGCCAGAGGCATCGCAGCAGCCAAGAAGGTGGACATGGCCTAGGAGTTGTGGGATGAGACCTTGAAGGGAGGAGGGGACGCCCGCAAGGACCAGCCCAGGACACTGAGCAGCAGACGCCTGGGGAAGAAAGGACCTTGACTCGCCATCCAGGTCTCACCCGGTGCTAAGGTAAGGAAACAACCATGGACTTGGACTCACAATCCCGCCAGTGGCTGGAGACTTGGGCATGTTGCTGCCATGCCTATGGTGCCCTGGGGATGGAGGGGATCGTCTGTAATCCCAGGAGATAAGAATCAGGGGTGGCCTAAAGCAGACTGGTATGAGGTTCTTTGCAGCAGGCAGGAGAGGTCTCAAAAAGCCACTCAGATAAGCCAAAAGCTGGTGGCAATGTTGGGAAGCCCTGAGTGGTTGTTAAGCAGCCCAGGATGCTAAAGGAGCAGCTGAGCATCCTCACATCACCTGTGGGTGAGGCCTGTTCACCTTACAGTAAGGGTGAGGTGTGGAGGAACGTCAGGGGGCGTTTTTGTCAGTGGCTGCTGGTGGAGCCCAGAGAGGCCATGTGTGGAGCTCGCTCTCCGTGGCCCTGACCTGTGTTCACCTACAAAGGGCTGGCCTCAATGCAGGGTCAGCTTGTCAGCGGAGGCCATGAGAGTCGAGTGTGGCAGGGACAGCAGGGAGTACCCCTAGGGTAGGCGATTCCCCACAAAAGTGTAGAACATCACTGACTTCAGAGAGCGCACCTGGGAGTGGGTGCGCTGTGTGGCTTGTGGCTGAGACCACAGTTGGGAGAAGGCCAGGAAGCCTGAGGGTTGCTGGATGTGATGGCAGACCTGAGTGAGCAGTGGCTCCCGCTTGAGAACAGGGCCTGCGGGCAGCAGACTTGAGCGCTCATCTGTTGTTTGCTAATCTTTTCATTTACACCTCAGTGGGTGCTTTCTCTGGGATGAGCTGCATTCTATTGTATTTGTATTGTTGTATTCAGTTACACTGTTCACGTTTGTGGGTCATGGCTACAAAGTTCATAGTGGCCAAGGGAAACCTAGGTGTAGATTCTGGGGTAGGGGGAGGGAAACAAGGCAGGATTAAGGGATGAGTGAAGATTGCTCAGGCCTTTCCACGGAAGGCCTTTGTGGCTGGAACCTGCAGCTGTGAAAACAAGAGGCCCTTGGGAGTGTGGGCTCCAGGTACACTGCCTGAGGATGGACACCTGGAATGTGGAGTGGGCATGCATAAGAGGGCACACCTGAGCCTTGGAGGCTGAGGACATAAGGGCAGAGACACAGAAAAGAGCAGAAGAGGACCATGCAGCAGAGAACAGCTGAAACTAAGGTACGGGGGGAGGAGGAGAGAGCCCCAAGGTGGAGGACCCTGGGCAGGCTGCAGGCCCCACTCATGGGGCCCCAGTTGGCTGGGTTTCACTCCCTTGCTCTTCATTCTGTCTTAAATGTTAATCATGCTAGGTAAAGGATTCTAGGCTGAAATTTTTCTGAGTACTTAAAATATCTCTTGCCATTCCCTTCTCAGCTATAAAATTTCTGAAAAGTCCATGGATATTCCTATTGGTGTTTCTTTATTGGTTGCTCTTTTTTCTTTTGATGCCTTTGGTATTCTGTCCTTGTTGTTTTCAGCAGTTTTATTATAATGTGTCTTGGAGCGTCCGTGTTATTGGTACTATTTTGTTGATCTAATTGGGTCTCTTGGATCAGGATATCTAGTTCATTTTCCAGGTTGAGAGGGTTCTCAGCAACTATTTAAAATAAACTTTCTAAGCCTTTCTCTCTTTTCTTCTGGAACTCTCATAAGAATGTTATTTCTCTTTAGGTTACCCCCAAAATTTCTTATACTATGTCCGCTAAAATTTTTTTCTGTGTATGTTCTCCAACATTGTGTTTTCAAGCTTACTAATTTTCTCCATTGCTTGAATTTGTGTTTGTCTAATGTATTTTTTAAATCAGTTGTAGTATTAGATCAGCTAGTTCTAAATTTTTTTAAAGATTTATTTATGCATACAAGAACTGGGATGTAAGCCAGAGGTATGGGGTGGTGGGTGAGAGGATTCACCAGAGACAGAGTGGGGAGCACAGCAGGCAGATCTACTGAAATACACTGCTGAGGGGAGCAGCAGGCAAGACAGGAGAGGTCTGCTGCGCCATGTAAGTTGCTCCCTGGCCTGCTGGAAATTGAACTTGTGCTGCAGTGGCTGGCAATAGCTTGATAGTGCTATCTTTAATCCCTGCACCACCAGGGAGGCCCCAATTCTAAGTTTAAGACTCTTTTTTTTTCCTATTCCTGTCCTATATTAATTGGTTTTTGCTTGTTTTTTTAATCCAGCAAGCATTGTTGGAACCTTAAGTTCTTTAGGCACATTCCTCGGTTGTGGTTGATTGAGACTTGTTGGAGCAAAAAAACCCCAAGACATTTGTGGTATATTCTGTCTCTTCATTTTTGGTTTTTATGGGTTGCAGTGGGGGATAACAGACTGCTGCTTTTGCACCTATTCAGATGACTGAAGAGCTGGTACTGACAAGGGAGTACAAGTAGAAAGGAACCAGTGCAGGTGAGCACTATAGGGTTGCCTCCAGTAAGCATAAAAGACTCAAGCTTCCTGCTCTGCTGTGGGTACCAGAGTTGTGTGGTGGGATCTATAGTAATTCCCTCCCTCAGACCAACTCTTTGAACTAAATGTCTCATATAGTCTTTTTTTTTTTAAGATTTATTTTTATTGTACAAGAATGGGGGTAGAGGCCAGATTCGTGGGAGAGTGAGAGGATCCACCAGAGACAGAGCGGGGAACAGAACAGGCAGACTGACAAAATACACTCCTGAGGGGAGCAGCGGGCACAACAGGAGAGGTCTGCTGCGCCATGTGGGACCCTTGCCGGCATCCAGGATCGAACTGGTGATACAGAGGCTGTAGAGAGCTTCACAGCACGGTGCTCAACCTCCTGCACCACCAGGGGAGGCCCTCATCTTATAGTCTTAATGCCAGCCTCAACCTCTATAATCTCTACCTGGTGCTCAAGGGCAGCCTAGTCAAGACAGGGCCTCAACCTGGCATTTGATCACTTTGCTTTTCCAGTACAGAGATTTACCCTGGGTGATTGCTCCTGTTGTTAATATCCAGGTGCTTAAATCTGCTTAGTGAAAGTATTCAGTTGTCTCATTTTTGGCCCTGGCTGTGGGCTAAGGCAGATTCTTCAAATATCACAGCCTCTGTAGATAATAGCCTCTTCTATGAGAAGATGCAAGTGATCTGACCCGGAACTCCCTGTTGAATCAGATTCCTGCTGTTTTACTTTGGGAACCTCAGGCTCAAATCAGTAATCATTTCTCAGTACCCCTGCTCCTATAGTTATCCAGTAGTGTGCCCTCTGTCTTATATGACAACTCTGAGCACCCCTTGTTTGGTGTAGTGCCAGGTCTCATGTGCTCCTGCGTCAACAACTGTAGGAGGTTCCTTACAGCAACCACTCCTCCCTCTTGTGAATTCTGCCCCAATATCACTGCAAACACAGACCATTGTTCCTGATGTATGCAGAAGTGGTTCCTTTGATCATTTGGTGCTTATTGACTTTGTTCTACTGCAATCCAGTTGTGAGTATGTGGTGAAGGAGAGCCTGGCATCTTCACTCTGCCTCCATCTTGCTGGACTTCTATTAAAATGCTCTCATATGAACTAACTTCGATTTTAGGAAGATCACTTTGGCTTCTGGGTTTATTCAATAACATGGTGTTAATGGGTGCATGGAGAAGAGGAGCTATGTCCATGCTTACAGTGAGAAGATGAGGGGAGTGGTAGGTCAGATCAATTGCTAAGTTAAGGCATATGAACATATTTATTGACAGTGGAGACCCATTAAAGATTTTAAAGAAGGTTTTAGTAGGAAATAGATTACTTAGATTGGGGAACATGAAGAATTCCTAAAATTTCAAGCCAATGTTTTTTTTTTTTTTTTCTGGAGAGAGTCTAATTTCTATGCAATGTCAAAGTTGGCTGAGACTTTGAAAAAAAGGCCAAGAATCACTGATTTAGCATTTCAAGCCTATATGACCAACAAATGGTAGTAGCATTAAAGAAAAAAGGCATCCCAAAGGCAAGAAGTAAGGAGGATGGGGTGGGGGTGGCAGTGGGGGCAGGGAAGTTGTTGTTGATGATCACAAAAGATCTATTGATTTTAATCTGCTGTAAATGGCACTTTCAGTGGGTATTAGAGATGGAGAACTCCATGCTTCAGAGACTGAACTGAACAAGGCTATAGCCACAGATTGGGGTGACACCTCCATCATAAGCCAGGAGTCACGATATTGAGTGACACTGTCAAAGAAAAACAGAAAAGGGGGCCAAGGACAGATCTTGGAACATTTGTCTACTGTGCTTTTTCCTAAGTGCTTTCTGACAGATTATTTTTCTCTACACAGGAAATTCACATTTTCAACTTTAGTTCCTAAAGTACATTAAATCACACTTTGGCTTCTGAGGGGATAAGCATAATGACTACTTATGTGGTTCACTTCTCATCTAAGGAAATTATCTTTTCAAAATGATCAGGTGCTCCTGACCCAGTTCAAAAGAGTGTGGGTATTTTTGAGCTAAGTTAGGAAGCATGTAGGATAATTGTTAGCACTCATAGGTCCTAATTTTTGCCTGGTGTTGAAATCTCAAGAACCCACAGAATTCCCTTCTCCCTGGGGAAGAAAGAAATTATACATGTTACCTTTTCCTGATCATGCCAAGAAAACAGCTTAAAATATTTGGGTAGATTGCAAATTGATAGCTGCTGTCCAGAATCAATAGTCATAACTCAGTTATACTATTGTATAGACATATCCAAAAGCATAGATGACATTTTCCCAAGAGTCTCTGTGATTTTTGTGTGGGTACATTATTTCAGGTAGAAATGAGCACCAATTCTAATCTGTCATACCCAGAAACTATCTAGTAGTCAACATTATGGAACTTTGCAGAAGCAGTAAAATGCCTGTAAGTGTTCATTTCTGGTTTCCATAGCTAACATGTATTGAATTCTTACTTGCATGGATAAAGGCCATATAGTTATTACTCAATCTCCACAAAATTTCCATAAGATAAATTCTGCTAATGGGTCTCATTTTATAAATGCAGAATTTGAGGCTGAGTGAGCAAAGTGTAGGTTTCTAAACTGCAGACTCTTCCTGCCTTAATATGGAACAGGACCCATCTGAAGCCTTTCTTATGGCCATGATCAGGCGGTGGCCCTGGGATATTCATCCAAGGGGAGAGTAGGAGATAGTGTCAAGAGGGAATACCCTTAGCAGCAGGTTGCACTATAACTCTGCTTATCTGTGCCATTTTGCAGAATTCTTCCACCTGACTCTGACCCTTACCTATCTGAATCTTAATGTCCTCGCTTCAGTGAACTTCATACATTGTTGGCCTCCGTTAGGATGCAGCTCAGTTTGGCCCACCACCTGAAGAAGTTGGAACTCAGGTAAAGAAGGGAGCCAGATTAGCTGCACCACTTGAGGTGAGGCCAGTTCTAAAAGGAACACACTTCAGCTGGAGGAGGCTTGCTCAGGCAGACAGAGCAAATACTAGCCAACTGGGAAAGGAGTTGTTCCCCCAGGTGAGAATTGAATATTGAACAAGATTAGGAGAGGGAGCAAGTAAAGGGGAAAGGTCAGACATTTTAGTGCTAATGGTTCAACCCAGAATTTTAGGAATTTACTGATAAGAAGGTAGCCAGAGGTTGAGCAATCCAAGAAGAGTTAATATTTAAGGGCCTCCCTGGTGGTGCTAGGGGTTAAGCGCCACACTATGAAGAAATCCACAGCCTCTGCTGCATGATTTCAACCCCTGGCCGGCCAGGGAGCAACCCCCATGGCGCAGCAGACCTCTCCTGACTCACCCGCTGCTCCCCTCAGCAGTGTTCTTTGGTCTGTCTGCCTGTTCTGTTCCCCACTCTGTCTCTGGTGAATCCTCTCACCACCACCCCCTCCTTCACACACATACACACCTCTGGCCTGTACCCCAGCTCTTGTATGCATAAATAAAAATAAATCTTTTTTTAAAAAGTTAATATTTAAGTACCAGGACAGGTGTCAGGGTGTGACCTTTCTCCATCACCACTCCCTGCTAGGGGTTGAAATATGCTTCCCTAAAATTAACCTGTTGAAGTCTGAAGTCCCAGCACCTTTTAACGTGCTCTTATTTAGAAATAGGGTCCTCACAGATATCACTGGTTAAGTTAGGATGAATCATTAAGGTGGGCTCTAATCCTCATAAAAAGGTGATATTTGACAAAGACACAGGAAGAATGTTCATGTGAAGAGGAAGTCAGAGTTCAGTGATATTTCTGCATACCAAAGATGCCTAGAGAACCCCGAGGCTAGGGGAAAGGCTGGAATAGTACTGAGAAAGAGCCAATGCTGACACCTTGATCTCAGACTTCCAGCTTCCAGAACTGTGAGACAATAGCATTTCTGCTGTTGAGGCCTCACAGTTTGTGGTACTTGGTTACTGAAGTCCTAGAAAACTAAAATACCCCTTCCTCTAAAATGTAGATCTGTCCTATTCTGCTTGGTCTAGTCCTAATTTCCTGAATCAAGGCCTAAAAGAAGGTGGAGCTGTGAAGTTTTTCAATCAAAATGTCTGCTACAGAGTTTTCCAGGCACACAGAGATCACTGGAACGCACACAGAGGGGTTGCCTGGGGACCTCCAGGCCTGCCTTGAGTCGCGAGGGCACTCTGTTCTGTGTGTTCTGTGGATTTAGGAAAGGGGTCTCCAGGGTAGAGTTGGGTGCTAATGCTCTTGATGGATCAAGCTATTCAACCCAAATCTAAAGCATGGATTTTTGCTTAGCCTAGCTTCTTAAAGTCTTTGTTCACAGCCTCTTTCCCCATCACCTTCATGAGACGATGCCTTTAGTCACCTGATGAAGACAGCAGGTTTCCATGGTTACCTCCAAGCATATAACAAGGTGTCATTCCTAGGAGGCCTCAGGATTAAGCAAATAATAAGAAAGGGCCTCAGGCACAAAAATAACCTAATCTAATGATGAGAATGGGGTCGAGGGGGCAACTGTGTCTAGGAATCAAATCAGAAGACCTGTTGTTGCAGCTGGGCATGAAGGCAGAGCAGCCATGCTCCTTAGTGCTACTGTCTGCTGGATCCTGAGACCATCCTCTGAACTAAGTGCCACATCAAGCACTTTATGGGTATCATCTCTTTTCATTCCTCACTCACAAAATCCACTTAATTTTATACAAGAAAGAACTGAGCTTGTGTGATTTGTTGAAGTAAGGATTCAAAACAGTAGAGTAAGGATTCAAAACAGGCACTGATTATCTCCCATCTCTCCCTCCAGATCTGCTTTCTGCCCTTGTCCACTTCAGAGGCTGACCTGCATAGCTGCGCCAACTGCCTCCTTGCCCCCTGGCTCCAGGAAGACCTGTCAGTAGAAGCCCCCACAGGTAAGGGAGAGAGGACACTTTCAGCTGGTTGTGCTACAGAGGAGCCATCTCTGCAGAATACTCTCCTTCCATTTCCTCCCTCTGTGTCTTTGAGTCTAGGGCTGCTATTTCAGGCCCTTGTGGTTGCCCAACATCTGCTCATATGTAGTAAACCCCTTTATAATAAGTCCTTTAATTATCCTTCTTGTGGGGCTCTGGCTGCTACACTAGGCTGATCCATTGCTGAAGACTTTGTCTTTAATTGTAATGCCATACTTTCCCCTATTCCGAGTGAGTGTGATGGTGTTGGGTCCCAGAGTGTTGGTTCAGTGCTTCTAAAACCCTGCTAAAGGCCTCCCCAGTGGCACAGCAGTTTGATCACAGCTCTGTGAAGCTGTCCCGCAGCGTCTGTGGCGCCGGTTCAATTCCCACCTGGCCCAGGGAGATCCCCACGTAGTGCGACAGACATTTCCTGTCTCTCCCACTGTTCCCCTCAGCAGTGTATTTCAGTCAGTCTGCCTGTTCTGTTTCCCACTCTGCCTCTGGTGAATCCTCTCACCCTCCTGCACCTCTGGCCTGTACCCCAGTGTTAGTACAAATAAATGTTTAAAAAAAAATAAAACCCTGCTAAGCATAAGATTGGTCCCTAAGACTTGGGGTTTCAAGAAAGAGGCGCTGAAACTGAGTTGGGTGCCCAATGGCTATAGGTGTGGGGAGAGGGCCACAGAACAGCCTAGAGAATTAAGCAGGGTGAGATCTTACACTCACCTATAAAGATTCAGTTCCCACATGGTCCTTCTTGTCCTGGCAACTCTACAGTAATGAGCTTCTCCAGTGAGTATGCCTAACTGTACTTGTTAAGTGAATAGCCACAAGACTAGTCTTATTTCTGACACTAGCTGGATTTCATGTGTTTCCAGAATCACTTCAAATAAATTGAATACCAATTCAACCCTAACCCTAACTACCCTGAAATTCTCTAATTTGCTATGGCAGTTCATAGAACCCCGGGAAGTGCTATATTTATGATACTATTTTATTATAACAAAAGAATACAAGGCAAATCAGTTAAGGAAAGAGATGTAAAGGCAGAGTCCAGGAAGTGTCCAAAGGTGGAGCTTTGGTCACGCTCTCCCAGTGCAAACATGCCGCCCTGACCACATGTGTGTCAATACACACAGTGTTGCCAACATGGGTCATTTACTCAAGCATTTGGTATCTAGAGTCTTTTTGAGGCTTGATCACATACAACCCACATGACCAACCTTTAGTCTCTTCCCCTTCTGGAGGTCAGAACTGAGATGGTGTAACCCAAAGCCTCCATCATAAATCACATTGTTAGCATGTCCAGTGACCAAAGCTCCCAGGCAAACATAGAAACTCTTTATCAACCAGAACATTCCAAGGGCCTTTTGATAACCTCTCAGTAGGTGAGAGCAAAGGCTGAACTTCTCTTGGGTAAGGTTAGGTCTTCATTACCCGGCAATTTCATTCCTTTAGAACATCATTCCTTTATTCCATGAGACCACTCCGCTTGGCTGTATTCCTGATGCTTGTCTCTCTTGGCCAGCACTATTCAGAGTGGGCACTATTCATGTGTTTATCATAGTTTGGAATGAGGCTAAAGAGATTCTTGGTATACTCTCTGATGATCTCAGCAGATCTTATCTGTTGCAGGATTCACTACTGAAACCACCATCCCTGTCACTGTGGAGGCAGATTCCATTGCTGGGAATGGAATCTGCTTTACAAAAATCTTCCTTTTTGTAGCACTGGGGGCAATAGTCCACAATTTCCCTCTAAATGCTCTTGCACAAAATGATTATTGTCACTTGGGGAGTTGTGGCATCTCACTTTGTCAGTGATGTGAACATGTTCTCTGTTCTACTTTTATTCTATCACCTACCACATTACATGTTTGCTTCCTCCCCTAGTGACAGGCCTCCTGTCTTTTTCTTCTACCTTTAGTGCCTACCATGTGCTGGTTTCTCACAGGCATTCTGTAAATGAACTCCAATTCATCTGCTCAGAAACATCATTGTATTTAGTTTCATTACATAAGAACTAGCAGCAATACCTCTGGCTGCATGCCTGCCTATTCTTTACTAATAATAACTCACTTATTTGGAAAATTTATCCTGTTTACAAATATTCTCTCTCTTAACCTTTGTACCTGTTAGATAGGTGCTCTTACTATCACGTGAACACACGAAAACACACAGAAGAAGACAGCAAAACCTACGGGGACGTAGGTTTTCTAACCCCACTCCCACCTTGCCCCCAGATCTATTGGTGTGAAAGCACCAAATCCTCACTATTTCATAAGGAATTGGGGCAGTCTATGCAATTGATCTATGCAATTGGCAGGTTGTTTACTGATAGGGATTTAGACTGAGATCAGATTTAGAATTAAGAATGAGATAAGATACAAGATTTTTTTTTTTAAGATTTATTTATGCATACAAGAGCTGGGGTACAGGCCAGAGATGCAGTGGGTGAGAGGATTCACCAGAGACAGAGTGGGGAGCAGAACAGGCAGATTGACCGAAGTACACTGCTGAGGGGAGCAGCCGGTGAGTCAGGAGAGGTCTGCCTCGCCATGTGGGATTCTCGCCGGCCGGGGATCGAACTCATGCTGCAGAGGTTACCGATTGCTTCATAGTGGGGTGCTTAACCCCTTGTACCACCAGGGAGGCCAAGATTTTGAATAATCTGTGCATTGAAGTAGAAGCTAGTGATTATGATTGTGAATGTACTAGAAGTAGAGAAAAATAGTTTGTTTTAAGGCAGTAGAAAGCCACTGCAAGTACATAGGGTGAAAGAGTCATTAAATGTATAAGTAAACTATAAGCTGAAACATTTCTGTGTGTTATTTTTTCTAGCTACAAAAGAAAAGGGAAATTTTATTGGAATGTTGTGAGGTAATTTGAAAGTTGAGAGGATATTAGGGGAGATCAAGGAGGCTAAAGGAGACAGAAAGGAATCTGGCACTTCCAAAATGTCTTGGTAGTAAAAACTGCTAACTATCACACTTATGGTTTTTCCCATCTCTGTCATTCCAGACAAGATTCAAAGACTGAGAGAGAGTTTTGTTGGCAATTTTTTGTTGACCCAGCATATTCAGACTAGGAGTAAATCAATTTGATAATGTACTAAAAAATACATATTTAATATATTAACATATATGAAGTATAAGTACATAAGTATAAGTATACTATATAATAAAATATACATTTGCATTTATGAGCCACATGTATCACCTTGTTTGTAAAATAAAATGCATGTATTTTTTAAATTTAAAAGAACATAGAATATATGCAAGCAGGTGCATTTTCACTTCTACAATCATGAAAGACAATTTCTTTTAATAGGGAGTGCTAATAAGTAAAGGCAGAGTCAGTCTTAGTTAACTGAAATTCTTTTAATACATGTGAGTTGAAAAACCATGCGCATGTTTCTCATTTATTTCACACTATTACCACACAATACCTCTGACACCAGATGTGTGGGTTTTTCACATATCAAGCAATTTTTTTAAAGATTTATTTATGCATACAAGAACTGGGTTGTTGGCCAGAGCTAGGGGGGTGGGGGGAGGTGAAAGGATTCACCAGAGACAGGGTGGTGAGTAGAACAGGCAGATGAACTGAAATACACTGCTGAGGAGAGCAGCGGGTAAGACAGGAGAGGTCTGCTGTGCAATGTGGGTTAGCTCCCTGGCCTCTGGGGATCAAACTTGTTCTGCAGTGGCTGGCCATAGCTTGTTAGTGCTGTCTTTAACCCCTGCACCCCCGGAGAGGCCCATAAGTCAAGCAATTTCTAATAACAGCCTGGTATCCTACAATTCATTTCAGTTCTGACATTACTTATGTGGCATTAGCATTGGATCCCGAAGCTTACGGGCTCAACCCCACAAAACAGAGGACTTGGCAACTTCACATGCCATGTTTCATGTCCCAGGTTGTTGTTACTGGTATTTCTGACCAACCACCTATAAGCTGGGGGGTCCCATGACTCTTTTGGGCTTGATAATTTCCTAGAATGTATCACAGAACTCAAGAAACTACCATCTGATGTTTACTGGTTTATTAAACAATTTAGTGAAGGATATGAATGAACAACAGATAAAGAGATACCTAGGTAAAATTTAGAAGTGTTCTAAGTGCATGAGCCCTCCATGGAATTGGGGTGCACCACCCTCCCTGCATCTGATGTGCTAAGCAACTCAGAAGCTCTCTGAATCCTGTATTATTGGGACTTTTATGGAGGCTTCATCATGTAGGCCTGATTGATTATTAACTCAATTTCCAGTCCCTCTTCCCTCTCTAGAAAACGGATGCTGGGTCTAAAATTTTCAAGTTTCTAATTATTTTTTCAGGTGACCAGCCTTGATCCAGGAGCTCTTGAAGAGTCACCAAATGAGAACAAAAGACATTCCTATTGGGGCCTCCCTGTTAAAGACACAGCATATTTAACCTTGTTAAAGACACAGCTCTATCAAGCTATCACCAGCCGCTGCAGCACTAATTCGATCCCTGCCTGGCCAGGGAGCAACCCACATGGTGCAGCAGATCTTTCCTATCTCTCCTGCTGCTCCCCTCAGCAGTGTATTTCAGCAGATCTGCCTGTTCTGCCCCCTCTTTCTCTGGTGAATCCTCTCACCCCCTCCCCTGCACCTCTGGTCTACACCCCAGTTCTTGTATGCATAAATAAATCTTTAAAAAAAAAAAAAAGACATTCCTATCACCCGGGATATTGCAGATGATTTAGGACTTCAGTGTCAGACCCTCCTATCACTCAAGAAATGATGAAAATTTTAGGTAACAGTTATATTTCTTATTATAACCATATAATATTTCTTACTATGTAGATTATTATTTCACAGCATATTATTTCTATAAGGTGGTATCTCACTATTAGCTTTATGATATAGCCTCTAAGATTTTAATTGTTATGCGGCTACTCTGTTAAAAATAAAAGCTTCAGTGATAATTGTTCACGTATATGCGATGCCAGGCAATGTGTTAAAACCATTCTCTGCATTATCTCATTCAAAGCTCACCATAACTTTATGAAGTTAATTACCATTGTCTCTATTTCACAAATGAACAATCAGGCCTTATGTCAAGTCAGCAGGAAGTCCAGGACTCCCACCCAAGTATATTTAATCCAGAGTCTGTGTTTTTAGCCTCCATGCTATCTTTCCTCTGTAACTAGGAAATTAAATCTGAGCAAGATTATTTATTTGTTTATACCATTGCCTTGTTCCAGAAAGGACTTCAGGCATCTGGTTAAGTAACTTATCCAAGATCACCCAGACAATAAGTGGCAGAGCCAGAAATCAAATATCTTTCTCTCACGAACTGTATAAACTGAGATAACGCAGATGTAGACTCACATCATATATTTCCCCATAAACATGAGAAGGGGAAATGGAGACATTTTCTTTGGCTGGTTTTCATTTTCATTCAGGCTGGATATGTTTTCAGCTTTAAGCTCCTTTCTTTAACCTTTGAGAAGGAACTGAACAGGACTAGAGGGACTCGGGAATCATAGGGCTGGTAAGTCCATGAATTACGCATGGTGAGCAGATGAAAGGAAAAGACCTGAACTATCATGAGAAATGTGGCTGATAACACAGTAGGCGACCTGTAAACACTGCTTAGTAATAAAGTCTTCAGGAGGAAGGGTCACCATGAACTGGGAAGCCATTTATCAGGGGAAGTGGAAGGAAGGCCAATGTGTGTGTGAGGGGGCAGGGGATTGTGGTGGGGTGACACACACAGACATGCAAAAGTGAGAATACGAAAAATAATTTGGAGGGCCAGCTTTCAAAGAAGGAATATATGAACAGTAAACACCACCAAAATAGCCACTTTTAAAATAAAACACATATCCTAAAGTATCCCAAATCAGGAACAGGCCTTCAAATCTGGGCAATGAAGAATTCTGTTAATCCATCTCTATCCCTTCTCTGTGGGTCTCTTCCTCTTACATTGTCCCTCTTAAGACAAACACTTAATCCATTTTTTTTTTACCCCAAACACAATTTAAACAGGGTTTTCTGAAGAACTGTCATCTCTTGGCAATAACTTGAAACATAAATAGAATGAAATGTATACTCATTCTTTTTGTGTGCCTAAAAAGTGGAACATTCATTTACTTTTGGTTTGCATTATTATAAAAAAAAAAATCATTGCAGAAATTGTTCTTAATTTTTTTTTTTAAATGAAGGAGCCTGTCTCAATTTAGTATCCTTAACCAAACATGCTTTAGTCTCAGAGCAAGAGCTGGCTATAAAGAAAATGCAACACTTTTAATAGCAGCTCTGATTGTTCACTGAAAACTATGAAGGCAAAATGCATTTGAAAGTTTTCTCATTAAAAACCATGATGTTTTACTTAAGTTGGACTTGGCTGTTCTGGATAATGTGAAACAGAAGTCACTTATTGAGAGGTAGGGACAGGAAGAGGAAATGGCTGACCTATAACTAGAGTTCTCCAAAGGTGGTAGGTATATTTATTAATCTCCTGGGACCTATATTAAGTTAGCAACTTGAGCTGACCAGCACATGTGTTGAGCAATGTTTAAATCATTAGAGTAACACATATGAACTTAAAATCACAGGAATTATTTCTTTTCCTGTCCCTTCTTTCTAGACATTTCCTTTTTTTACCCTAAGTTATGTAAAGAAAATTAAAAAAAAAAAAAAGCCAATTCAGTCTTGTTGGATAGAATCCTGTGGAATATTGACCATTCTCATCACCAGATGTAGACAAAGAGTTCTCTGTTGTAAGTAAAATAGTCTAGGGCAAAGAAATTTCCACATTTCCCTGAGTTTAGTTTGGAGTTATTCCTTCTTTCTATAAAGGTGGCATAATGTGTGTGTACTTAAGTAGATGCATTGTATTTTAAAAATACAAACAATTTAATTTTAAAGGTTATAAAAACACTCTGAGATAATAGGAGTTGCAAATTTTCCTAAGTAGACAGCAAAACCATGATGGTTAGAAATATACAGAAACATGCAATTGTAGAAAATATATTATTATGCTAGCCCGGTGATAAAAGTCTGACCTAAATTAAATTTAAGCCCTCACTGACTGCTTTGTAAAACTCAGGTTTAGTACAAACAACTGGCCTGACACAAATGCAACAAAGGCACAAATGTATTAGACTTAAATGCCCCAATAAAATGATTTGAGACCTAGAAGATCTGTGACCTGATTCTATTTTTGAAATTATGACTGATTAGATATTCTCAGCTCCAAGAAACCCTGAAAGAAAAATGACTCATTCCATAAAGGCATTTTTATAAATGAAGTGGATTTGGAATTTAATGGTAACATTTAATCATTATAAAGCAGATAATTTCATGAAGAGTAATTTGATATTTATAACAGCATCATTGTCAATTAAATTAGTACAGAATAAAAGTGAATCAAAGGTCCTTGATGAGCAAAGAATGAAGAAGTGGAAACTCAGTGATGGGGTAGGTAGTTGTTAGAAGAAAAGCAGAGGGAAGATTATAATTAAAGTTGTTCTTGTTTTTACATTCACTGATATTTCAGTCCACATCATAATAGAATCAAAGGTCCTTAGTGTAAGGTAAGTGTATACAAATTCAGATTTCTTGTTGGACAAATCTTCCTGTAGATTTCATTGTTTATTTTTCTTTTTGGATCACTCATATAATGCACTAGTTTCTCTTCTGCAATCCTTCTGTAAGATTTTTGTCTTGTTACAATTGTTGGTGTGTGACCCATCCTTGAAAGACAGCTGTTTACTACATTCTAAAAAGCCACAAGGAGTGTCTCCATTGTTTCTTGGTTACACATTCCAGTCTATTCAATTTGTGAACCAACTTGTTTTCTGTTGTTTGTAGCCTGTAGCCACATATACCCTACACTACCTCCTGAGGAAGATGCAGATTTCGTTAATGTTAGAAACATATGTAAGTAATCAAAATCCATTGTATAATATATTGTGCCAAAAATGTACTTTTCACACAGGGTGTGTCAGTGAAGAAATAAAACCTTTAAAGTGTTTTCTATTAGACTACTTAATATAGAAACGGTAGATGCCCCAGGACAAAAATTAATTGATGTTTAGGCATAACCTATTGACTTTTAATTGAAGCCTTGCTTATTTTACAAGTGAAAACCTATGAGCTAAATCACATTTTGCTTCTAAGGATTTATGACTTGGAATAAATTTAATGCTGCATTAGCTCATAAAATGTGCTTTCCTAGAATAATAGCATTAGTTTCAAAATATATGTTCTTTGGTTGCTTTATCGCACCCAAAACAAAATTATTGAAATTTGGCAATAGCATAAATCGTTTACTTTAATTAGTAGCAGCACATATTTGAGAATAAAGTATGTATGATAATTCTTTCCTAAGATCCCAGCATCTGGAAATTCATTCACAGCATCAACAGACCAGCAAATATTTCGTTTTTAAGACCAGAAAGATGAAGCTTTAGCTTTAAATTATTAAGCCTATGTTTTATAGAAACTGTAGTATGTTGTTATAAGGCTTATTTTCTCTGTGACGTCTGCTTTGAATTCTCATTTATTCCTTGCTTGTAGGTTGATAAAACACAAATGGCAATATAGTTATGTAAAAATTAGAAAAAAAAATGTTTTTCTCATGACGCTTCTAACTCCCCAATTGAAATTTTAGAAGAGCAAAAGGAAAGTATGAAATGAACACAAAATTTTTAAAGGATAAAAGAACAGAATACCTGGCTTATTTACTTTCTAATCAAGACCTGCCCAAAATCATAAAAATGGAAATGTGTTTATGTAACCCATTTAAAATCTAACCAATCCAGTGAAAACATCAGCTTTCATTGGGTGTGTCAATACATAGTTTTGTAATAGAAGAAAAGGACACCAGAAAAAGAGATTCAAATTTCCCTTTTCTTAAAATAGTTTTCCCTACAAAATGCAGTTAAGAAACGTTTGCATAAGTACCCAGATGAATTAAGTTAACATGCACAGATTGTCGTTTGCTCTTAGATATTGGGGGGAACAATGATAAACACATGGTGAAGAGACATTCATTTGTTTACCCACAAATTTATTCAAGACCTCCCTGGTGGTACAGGCGTTAAAATCCTAGCACTATCAAGCTATCACAGCCACTGTGGCCTGAGTTCAATCCCTGGCCAGGGAGCTAACCCACATGGCTCAGCAGACTTCTGTCTCACCTGCTGCTCCCCTCAGCAGTGTATTTCAGTACATCCACCTGTTGTGCTCCCCACTCTGTCTCTGGTGAACCCTCTCATCCCCCCATACCTCTTGCCTGTACCCTAGTTCTTGTATGCATAAATAAATAAAAATCTTAAAAAAGTTATTCAGTGGCCAGGATATACCAAGCATTGTACTCCATCTCTACAAGTGCCAAATGCCTGACAGAATAGGGCGGGTTATCACGTCTTT